CCTAGAAGTGGAAGATCATGACAAAACATGAATATATACTCGATCGTTATCTCAAATCATTTTCATCTCATGAGATTAATTTGGATTACTCCCGAGACTTGAAGTTCTTGGTCCAATATACTAGTTTGGATGAGTTAATGGAATTGTAAAGAGATTATCATCGATGATGTTTTCACTTATATGGGAGCTATCGACATAAATGAAAAATGACAATATCAAACCGCGTTTCGTTGATTAGTGACAACGTAGAACTGATTGGACAACCGAAATCATAATCCTAGTTAAATTCCTTACCAAAGTGTGTCTAGACTTGTAGTTCCTACACTGCCCGAGGTAACTCTATTGTGTTACTAGTGTAAAAGAAAGTGTAATACGATGAATGAAATAGTGCAATATGATGCATGCCTTATGGCACAAGGTTTCTCTCAAACGTCATATGATTGTTTGCAGCGTTATGAAATGTGGTTAGTGTTTATCCATGGAGATATTGATACAGAAATTGACATGTAAGTTCCCGAAGAGTTACATGGATCGGTTCAAATAGTTCCAAACCACGGAACACCCTATCAATTCTTTTGAGGCGTTTACTTACGGACTGAAGCAATCTGGCAAATATGGTATATCCGTCTAAGTGATTATTTGATTAGTTAGGGATATGAATTATGCTCTTGTGTGTTAAACTATGAATTCTTATTCTGAATTGCTAGAGTTACCATTTATTTCATTGCCATGAATCTCACTAAGACTTTGAAAGAGCTTAAGAAAACTACCTCGCACCTAAAGATGGAATTTGAGGTGAAGGATCTTGGGAAAACTCGTTTATGCCTTGACGTGAAGTTCAAGTGTTGTTTTGACAGTACTTTGGTCTGCTAGTCGAACTTTACCCCGAAAGTGTTACCTTTAAGTATACCTGTAATCTTTCATACGCTATATGCAAATGAGACCCTTGAAGAGGTTATGAAACCCAAAATTCCATAGTTCAACTTTGCGCTGTGTTGTACTTAGCTCATTGTGTTAGACAAGACATGTCATTCGCAGTTGATCTATTGGTAATGGTGCAGCATCGCGCCTACACGTAGCCACTAAATTGGTATTAAGGACATATTATCATTACCCTGAAAGGTGCGACAGATTTGGGCTAATCTCAATGCATCATGAGCGGATCTGACCCCATTGATCCTCGAAATGATGTGATAGGATTTTTACTACTTATGTGAACGGGCTTAAATCTCCTATTTTACTTGCAAGAATCACAAGGTTATTGTAGTATAAACGGATTTTGCAAGGTCATCTCCACAGGGATTATTAAATAATTCGAACTAATCAGATTCCATTTAATTATTGTAAAGTAGAAATTGAAGTGATTGATTTTATAACCTAATTAAAATAAAAACGAATTTAATGAATTAAAATAAACAATCTGCAATATTAGGACTAGAGAGAAGAAAACAGTTCTGAGAAAATCAAATTAAGAAAGCACTAGGGTTTCACCATCACCTAGCAATCCTACGAATTTTTACCCATTACTTATGATCTATACATGCTACTTTGAAGGTTAGATTTTCCTAATTCATATTCTACTTGGAACCTCCAACATAGAACGTATATCTAACATGCAACCCGTCCAGACGTTCGGATCAAATCTAAACATGAAATACTCATTATGCTTTATGAAAATCCTTTGAAAAACCATGCAATCCTTAAGACGTGATATTCATCTTAAGAGATTACAATTATTAATCACAAGAAGCCAGTGTCAATTTCAGGGAACCTTCCGACCAAAATTGCATCAAATTACTTTTCTAAAAATCCTAATGGTGATCAGGCATTAAAACAATTAGATAGTTTTTATCTTGGTGATTAACAATTCAAGGTACGCATGCAATCAATCATAAGCAATTAAATAAAAATCACATATTCATGTTAAGGCTCAAGGCTTCGCCCTAGCAATAGAAATTAGTTCCGCATATTCATAATTGAAATCATAGAAAATATATTCAAGAAAAGGATTGAAAGCACCTTCAAGTAAAAAGTCTTCAAAACCCTAACAATTCTCTCTGTCTCCAAAATTGCATAAAAGAAAGCGTAGTCTAAAACTGTAGACGGCTCAGCAATATATTTTCCAAGCCACCCCCCAAAAACCCTAGGAAACATAACCCTAAATTAAATGATAAAATTCGTCTAAAATCTGAACAGCCACGTTTTGGCCCATAAGCTGCTCCAAAACTGGCCCAATATAGCTGGATTTAATGTTTGGAATATTCTGAACACTTTTCCAGAAGGCCACGAACCCATCCGAGGTCATTTTGGGCTCCAAAAACGCAATTTAAGCCCAAAAACGTCACTTTCCAGCACTGCGCACTGCTTCTTTATTTCATCGCCAGAAAATAACCGCTTGGTGGAAAATTCCCAAATTTTGATACGATCAAGCTAAGTGACTCACGAACGTCCTCCAACTGGAATTACTCCAAAATTCGTCCATTTGGTCCTGTTTTGCTCCAGAGGAAGTTGAAAGTCCTATATTGAAAATACAATTCAAAGTATCAAAATTCTTCCAATATATTAACCAAAATATACTAAGATTAGGGTAAAATATATAATATAAAATATACTCATCATGATGCATTCCTTGTTTGTTATGCTGACGCAGGTTACTTATCAAACCCACACAAGGTACGTCCCCGAATGATTATATCTTTACCATTAAGTATATCACAATATCTTGGAGGTCCATGCTATGACTTTAGTTGTGAAATGTTCGAATCGTTCCAAGACTCACCTTACTTCACTATGCTACACGTGAGACATGGTTGAGAGCTCTTGTTGAGCATATTCGAAGAACGTACTGTTTTCATTCATCGTTAAGTCCTAACAATGATCCCTAAAGACTATACAGCATTTATCCACCTGACCAAGACATGATAGATCAACGAAGTCAACATCAAGAAGCATCGTGTCTACACCACATTAGCAAAGCATCAGGATATTGAAGTCATGCAAGCCAATCCCAGATAACCTTGTTGACCTCTACACGACGTCACTGTCGAGGTCCACCTTCCGAAAGCTTGTCCAAGGAATTGGTATGCCTAACTATTCATATGCAATGCTTGTAGTTCTCATTTGGAAGTTTTGTCAAACTCATGGGGAGTATCTAGAAGTATACTCACTTGATCTTAATGTATTATTTTTCCCTACATAATATTAATGTACTATTTTTCCCTACAATTAGGAGCACTTTTCCTACTATTTTTTTGCTACCTAACTAGGTTTTGACGAGGTACCCATCTTAGACTGATCATACCCTTGTGAGCTTTTCTACTTGCGTCCAAAAGACGTATAGTTTTGATTACATGCAACTTCTCACTTTTCTCCTTAGTCTATGCATTTTTATCCCACTTGGGTTTTACCATAGTAAGGTCTTGTGAGTTTTACCATTTATGCATTCTTCCATTGTTTTGAGACTCACATTCGTTCATTATGCCGACGACTTCATCAACTGAACTTACTTTATCGTTGAAGACCTGATGCACCATTTGTTTGAATATTTACACACTCAAGGGGGAGTGTTGTAGTCCTATTAAATTAGGAATGTGATCGTGTAAATCCTAAAGTATTTGGGATATCTTTAGAAGGTTCTCTAGGGTTAGATATTATCCTATTAGAGTTGTAATCCTATTAGGGTAAGGAATTTACCTTCCATACTACTATAAATAAAGGCACAATGGGGTGAGATAACACGCACCTCACAATTACACATCTCTCTTTCTCTCTATTGCCGCCGCACCCCCTCTCTCTGTCCTTTTTATTGTTCAATAAATTAGGCCTACAACAATAAGAGAAATTAAATCTGGCATTCATTATAAATATTGACCTGGACATAGTCAAAAGACTTATCTTAGATAAGGTTTTAGTCTAAAAGTAAAGTTTTTCAAGGCTTAAAATCTAGTTTCAGGTGAGAAAATCAATGGAGATCGAATCCGCACCACAGTGCATAGGCTAAAAGGTTGTGTGAAAATTATCTCCCTATGAAAATATCAAATGTATCAACGGGGTGGTTTTGTGCTGATTTATTTTGCTGACCTAGGCTTAACTAAATTGGGTAGAGAAGTGTGTTCTCATTCTAGTGTAAAAAAGTGCTTGTATTAAAACAAAACGTGAACGGCTGGCTTTCAAAGTTTTTTTCACAAATAAAATCCTTTTGAAATCCTTTCATAGATATCATCTATAAAGAATAAGACTTCCTCCTACAGGTAAATGAACGTATTCCCATTTTTTGTGAATAACTTATCTTCAATGTATAAATTTTATAATTGGAACACAGTTGATGGCAGTGACCGAAAGGTTTTACATTCCGTACTACCTCAATCAAACCCTATCAAGCCCTTCTAAGTATAGGCCATACAACTGCGGCCGGAAGGCTCTGTAATTTCAGTGTTGAAACATCCATGATTCATCACTTCAGGATTTTAATTGAATAACAGAAGCAATATTTTATTTGGACTACCTTGTGTTCCAAGCATGAAAGGATACAAAAATACGGATTTGGATCCCATTCGGATCTTCTTTGTGAGGATCTCATCATATCTGTTAATTGTACATCGTATGGCCCGATATCATTTTGAATTTTTTTTTTAAAAAAATTAGACACAAACAATACCTAATGATATGTGGCCACATAATGTATGATAAACGGATATGATGTGAGAATCCTTACAAAGAGAATATGGAAAGGATCGTCATCCCAAAAATACTACACATAAGCGCGGATCAATTATTTGACCATCCTACGAGATATGGCATTGAAATTTTGCTCTCACCATCTTCCACATTTTCAAGCTTTTGGCATCAGCAACATTAACAATTACAAGACCAAATGCTTGTTTATTCAAGTAGTAACCTCTAAGTCTCGGGAGATGCAATTTTAAATTTATCAGTCAAATTCAACAGAAGTTTTTGGTCCAACCCAAACTCTCTTTACTTTTTGAACTTAATAATATAAATACACAACAATGAATCTGTTTGTCAATCAATTTGGTGGTGACCAAACCAGCAACACAAACACATATGGATCAACGAAAGCCAAATTTGATTACATCAATCTCTACTTTTCTCATCGTTCTTCTTCTCTGTGTAGCAAATGAAATCGAGTCGGCACCTACAAATCCAAGCAAGCAGCAGCACTTTGTGTTAGTTCATGGGTCATGCTTCGGTGCTTGGTCTTGGTACAAGCTTGTAACCCTAGTTAGATCATCCGGTCACAACGTCACTGCCCTAGACCTAGCTGCTTCCGGGGTCGACCCACTGCAGGCAAAGAATCTGCGATCGATTTCCGACTACTTGAAGCCCTTGAGGGATTTCATGGAAGCTATTGATGGAAAGGTGATTCTTGTTGGTCACAGTCTTGGTGGGTTGGCCATTTCTCAAGCCATGGAAAGATTTCCAGGTAAGATATCTGTAGCTGTTTTTGTCACTGCCCTGATGCCAGGCCCGGCCCTCAACATTTCCAGCCTTAATAAAGAGGTACCTACCTGCACATTTTTATAACAAAAAGCCCCATCATATAACACTATTGTCTTCTGTAATATTATTTATCTCCACTTATAAGTGAGAAAGTTTTGAAGTTCCAATATCATATAATGAGTTCAAATTAAATTATTATGACAAACACATTGTGTGAATTAGCCCAAATCTCGTACTCATTATAATATATCGTTATCTTAAAACATAATAATAAAAGATAATATCTCTAGATTGATTGACATAATTAAACATAGATCTACAAAAGTACATCTTCATTTTTTGTATAAATACTTTTGATATTCTTTATACTAGGAGATAAGAGACTGGCTAAACTTCATAAAAGGGTATTTATAATAATTTGGTTTGAATTCACTTTTAGCGAGAATCAAACATACACCTCAACCATGTGTTGGTGGTCTAGTGGTAAAGGGCAGCTTGCGATGCTTCATTCAAACTAAAAGATGGAGGTCTCATGTTCCAAAACCCGTTGTTTGTGTGGAAGCTAGACTTGTGGCCAGAGAGAAACTGAAATGCATCTGTGAGTCTTCACGGCCCCCGAAGAGGATGGATAATCGTGACTTACCACAAGTTCTCCCTCTTTTTAAGAAAAATAAGAACATAAACCTCTCACTTACAAGTAAAAAAGAATATACCATAGTACTAAGTGACAAAATTGAAATAAGAACAATAAGATATTTTGGGAAAGGAATCATCTCTGGATCCATTCCTCCTAATCCACCAAATCAGAGAATCGGTGTCATTGAAATTTGATCAAACGGCTACAAACAGGGCCCACTTTAAAAGTTATAATAATTTCAACGGTTGGATTAATTTTCAATGATACGGATTCTCTGATTTAGTGGATTAGGAGGAAGGGATCCGGAAATGATTACTTTTCGATATTTTGTATTTTAAACCTAAATGGGAGACTCATTGTCTTTTAATTTTTTTTTATTATATGTTGGAATTATAAAGTCTTTCAGGAGACAAGATTCTCTATTAGACAGTCGATACACATACGACCAAGGCCCAAGCAATCCTCCGACCACTCTCATATTTGGCCCGTTGTATTTGGTATCAAGAGTGTACCAACTTAGCCCAATTGAGGTAAGTGGAATCTCAACTGTTCAATCATTGTCAAACCTATAAGATCTGACCGTTCATGTAATGTACTATAATTTGCTGCAGGATGTTGCTTTAGGCAGCATGCTAATGAGACCAATACGTTTGTTCAGTGAAGAGGACTTGTCCAAGAAACTCAAGCTAACCAACGAGAATTACGGGTCGGTCAATCGGGTTTACGTAATATCGGAAGGAGATTTAGTCGGAAAGAAGGACTTTCAACGGTGGATGATCAAGAAAAATCGGCCAAACAATGTGGTGGAAATCACAGGATCTGATCACATGGTCATGATATCCAAGCCATTGGAACTTTGGCTGCATCTCCAAATAATTATTAAAAAGTATACCTAATAGCTTAAATTATCTCTAAATAATATGTCAAATTTTAAACATGAAATTTAAATTTGAAGATGTATATTATAACATCTCACATCGCCTATGTGAGTGGATCTTGTAAGTCTTATATGTATATTCTCATCTCTACCTAGCACGAGACCTTTTGGGAGCTCACTGACTTCGGGTTCCGTAGGAATTCCGAAGTTAAGTAAGTTCGCACGAGAGCAATCCCATGATGGGTGACCCACTGAGAAGTTCTCGTGTGAGTTCCCATAAGCAAAACCGTGAGGGCGTGGTTAGGGCCTAAAGCGGACAATATCGTGCTACGACGGAGTCGAGCCAGGATGTGGTGGGGGCCCGGACCAGGATGTGACATATATGACACTTTGATTTTTTTTTTTTTTTAATTTTGTTATCCACCTGATATGTCAAGTTTAAACTGTTATTTATTTTTCATAATTTTAATAAGTATTTAAAAAATAATTAAAATTATGAAAAACATTTACTAATCACCAAAAATAGATTTGAAGTTGCTGTCAAATTTGGTAGCAACCACCTTTACTGTTAATCCATATCATACCACATAGAAATTGACATTTCGGTTGGAATCACTAATGCTGTCTTTTTTTACTGTTATTGCTGATGTAGACTTTTTTACTTCTAATATTAGAGAATTGTTATTAGCATTCCAAATATCTCATTCTACACTCCTCACAAGTGTATTTTTCTTTCTAATGATAGAAAGTATGAAATGTAAAATGAGATTTTTGGAGTGCCAATAACAATTCCATAATATTATTGTAAAAATAAAGATTAAGTATGAATAACTACCCAACCATCTAAGGTGATTCCAAATTAAACCCAACCTTTTAAAACGTTCCAAATAACTACTTAACGTCTAGAAAAACAAACACTCGTTTGGTCACCAAGGTTAAGTGATGATGTTATTACCGTTAATTGATAATGTCCTTAATGTTAAGTGATGTTGTGAACAAATATTGAAGTAGATTTTCCCTAACACATCATTTGGAGTTTTAAATCCCAAAATGTGTCCTTCTTAGCCAGAATAAACATTAAGTTTGTCTACTTAAAAGGGATCAGTTTAGGGATCAAAGATTTTATAGATGATATGAGAGTGAAACTCGCTTCAGTACTTGTCCATGTTATAACTTAATGTTGGTGGTCTAATGAATGTCTAATTTTCAACACTTTAGTAATTATTTGAAATGTTTTAAAAGGTTGAAACCAATTTGGAATTACCTCTTAAGATTAATTAACCCTAAAAATAAAAAACTTAGGGAAGTGGGTTAGGCCTTTTCTCTTCAACACACTATTCCCGAGTTCAAGCTATTCATTTTCTTAGTGTATAACACTTCAAAAAATTAAAATAAAAACCATAGAAATCGGCTTCCACTTGTGCATTGCACAATTGCATAATGGTTGATAAAAGCAGAAGCTTTTTGGGTTCTTTTTTACTTTTTTTTTCTTGAAAAGAACGTCTCGTAATGTATTGGAGAGTATAATTTAGAGTAAATTATAGTAACGATCCTTAACTTTAATTCAATTGGAGCAATAGTCCCTCAATTAAAAATTCATTATCATTGGTCCCTCAACTCATCAAAACGTGCAGCTATGATCCCTCAACTAAAAATCTATTACCATTGGTCCCTCAACTTTAATCCAACTAGAGAAATGGTCCCTCAACTTTAACTCAATTGAAACAATGATCCCTGAAACTTTAACACAATTGTAGCAATGGTCTTTCCAACGTCACTCATTTTGACAAAATTTTGACGAAGTTGATGAAAATGGCCACAGCTACAAGTTTTGATTAGTTGAGGGACCCCGATTGTAGCAATGGTCTTTCCAATATAACTTATTTTGACAAAATTCTGACAAAGTTGACGAAATGGACCATAACTACACATTTTGATGAGTTGAGGGACCATTGCTCCAATTTGATTAAAGTTGAGAGACCATTGCTACAATTTACTCTATAATTTATGCCTAAAATTTTCAATTCTACAAATTATGGGTTTTGTTTAAAATCTCATTAATATAAACAACTATAATTTTTAATTTTTAATTTAAAAAATATAATAACTTACATATAAATACATTATTACATTAATGTCAGGGAATTCAATAAAAAAACTTACAACCAACAAGATTTTTGTCAAAGAACATTGATATCTAGGAACCTTATCTAAAGTCTCTCATAAAACCTAGTCCATGATTATTATTTTTTATTTGTTATTAGTACATATAAAAAAAAGTGACAAGAGACCTCTACCACATTAAAAAAGATGAATACCTCTAAATTTATAGTATTTAATTTATAATAGTATTTTTTCTTTGTCAAACGATAGATTTTATTAGATTAAATATTATATTAGCCACCGATGAGATTCGAACTCATAATTTATAATAGTACTTTACATGTGTGATTTGTGAGTAGTATGTATTTAGAGTTTATCAATTTAAGCAATTAGACGCTGAGTATTTTCTTAGAAAAGTTGAGAAATGCTAAGGAGACTCTTTTAAAAGTGAGACTCTCCGCCACCTTATATTTTTGGCACAGTTTCCGTGCTAAAATATAAAACATTATGCCAAAAATATGAGATGTCAGAGAGTTTATGAAAAGTTTCATTTGAGAGAGTTTCCTAAGCATTTCTCTAGTAAGTTTGTTAGGAATCCAAAACGTGTAAAGTCATTCGGAAGACTTGATACATGCCTTAACGTGGCTTCTCAATGTATATGTATGTGTATAATCCCAGTAAGTGAAACCCTCAGGAAATAATAATTTGGATTAATATTCTGATTAGACTTGTCAATTTTTTACAAAATTTGTTAACTCGACTTGAAATGACACGAAATTAACAGGTTTTAAGTTGATAAGATAACGAATCGGATCGTTATCGAGTAACCAATAAACACCTGTAAAGATAACGGATCAGTCCAGGTATGCACGCGGGTAATCCGAAACATGAAAAGAAAAATATTAATTTTATAATTTTATACCACTAAAAAAATACTATAATTAAGAGCACTAGGATTAATCTCACTTTTGTGAGGTTAAATCCCTACCACTGAATTATGAATTCCAATTACAACAGCAATCAGTAGTATAGACACAAAACTTAATTCTCAATCGCAATTTCACAAAACGTAATATATTTTTTAAGTGATAAGTACTATTATTTATTCCTTTTTCATAATTATTTTTGGTAAACTTCTCATAATTTGAATGGTTTATAGTGTTTGGTTTTTCTATACTTGGTTTATGCGGAAGAGACTTCTAATGTGGAAAACATTACTGAAAACGTTATCAATATAATTCTTGAAGACAATAGAACAAGCCAAAGTTCCTATACCATTTCTCCATGATGAATGATGAAAATTGAAGGATTTTGTAAAAAGAACAACATGCAAGCTTTGAGTTTTTTTTTTTTGGTTTAAGGCAAGCTTTGAGTTTCATTGGCAAGGTTTTAATTTTTTGAAAAATGTTCATAACCTTGAAAAGAAAAACCCCTTCATTTTGCATATCCTTGCACATTTGATATTTTGTAGTAGTGTAGTGATACTTTTTTATTAGGCACTTATGTTGGAGTATGTAGTACTTAACGACAAATGTGTTTTTATGTTTTGAAGAAATATTTATATGGCAATGTGTTGTGTGCAAATTAATTTTTTTTTAACGGGTTAAACGGGTCAGGTTATTTTACCTGTTAATTTTAACGGGTAAAGTAACCCGACCTGTTAAGAACCCATTAAGATAATGGCTGTGACACGATACGACATATTAAGATAACATATGTTACACAAAAACAAAATGAACACAACAAACACAACCTGTTTACCAGACCTAATCCTAATTAAGCCAAACAAATATCTTGATATATATCCTGATTAAGCCAAACATATTAGCCAAATGTCATCCTTATCAATTTGAGTATATGACTGTATGTGACAGGATAATCTGTGAATGTGATCAAATCAAATGGTCAATGATGGAAATAGGTTAGTTCACAAGATCAGTCAATGTCGCTTAGACTATCGATCACAATATGGTGTGAAGGACATGAATTTAAGAGGGAGAATGGAATTGAATGAATATGTCTTGACCCTAAAAACTACCAAGCCTACGTGGTGCGTAGGCCGAATAACTAATGAGCTAACTACGTCATTCAATTGATGCAAGGCGTGCCAACACGTTGGCCGAGCTCGGCCGAGGAGTAAAATATGTTGATGTTGCGTTGAGCGCACGGCTGACTTCTCGATCTTACAACTACGGCCGAGAAAGGAACACGTCTCGGCTTTTGGGTTCTAGAGCCTGAAGACAAGGCTGCTAGTTCTACGAAGTTCACAAATCGTCTACGTCGGATTCAATCACGATGATTATGTTTGTAAGAATATAAGCACGCCGAATTAACACGAGACTATATGGACACAAGTATTCAAAGCAGATGAACATTTTAATCGTAAATCTGGTTCGGCCGTCAGAATGTCGAACTCTAAATCTAACTTATGAGTATCCAATCATAAAACAACTCGACCTTCAATGTGCCGAGCCCTAGTAAACTGTAACACCTCACCTCGCCAAAAAGGCTAATGAGATTACCTCTGCCAATAAAGACCCGAAAGTTTTTCTCGACCGAGACTTGGATAGATAACTAGTCGGCCTTGACACAGTATTGTTTATCCAAACTGAAGGTGTTTCGCGATAGGCTGATTCTACGGCGACAATGCTAGTTATCCAAACTGAAGATGTTCGCCAGTTGCCTTCACCGTGATATTTATCCAAACTGAAGATGTGTTGGCGGAAAAAGAAAATAAAAATCTCAAAGTTGTTGAGAGGTTTCGCGAAGAGCGAGAGTTTGCGCAAGGCAGTTTGTGTGTTGAATATTGTGAAAATCATGTTAATCATAATCATATTCCAACAGATATGGGTCCAATGCAGTCTAGAAAATAGAATATGTACGTAGTATAGCATCTTCTTTTTTAGTCGTCTACAATATTATGGCATCTTTGAACGTGTAATGGAATAATAGTAGCGAGTAATGCAAATTGTAAAGAATGGAAATG